CTCAGGAAGTTAAATGAGATGTAATTTCGTCCATTACTAATAAAGATGATGGTGATAATGACAATGATAATAATAATAATAATAATAATAATAATAATAGAGAGGGCCGTTGAGATCAACAAATATCCAAACTGAATGGCTTCGACTGTCCCGACTGATATTTGACCACATTTCGGATGGACTTTTCGCAGTAATTAGTTAATAAATAAAATTGAAGAAGATATGTGTGAGCGGTTTGCATTCAAACCGGGCAGATGAAGAGAGGTCAAATCAGCTTTTATTACTCTCGTTAATTTCTAAGAGCTCAGGAAGTTAAATGAGATGTAATTTCGTCCATTACTAATAATGATGATGGTGATAATGACAATGATAATAATAATAATAATAATAATAATAATAATAACTGTAAGATGTCAACTATAGCGGTAGTCTTTACCTGTTTGTGATAACAACTAAGTTCGGACCGTAGTGGATGTAGCAGTCAAGTTAGGAGGATAACTGTAAGATGTCAACTATAGCGGTAGTCTTTACCTGTTTGTGATAACAACTAAGTTCGGACCGTAGTGGATGTAGCAGTCAAGTTAGGAGGATAACTGTAAGATGTCAACTATAGCGGTAGTCTTTACCTGTTTGTGATAACAACTAAGTTCGGACCGTAGTTGATGTAGCAGTCAAGTTAGGAGGATAACTGTAAGATGTCAACTATAGCGGTAGTCTTTACCTGTTTGTGATAACAACTAAGTTCGGACCGTAGTGGATGTAGCAGTCAACTAGTTGTAACAATTATAAATGTATTATAAAAAAATTCAAAAAATAATAATATCTCAAAGTAACTCAAGAGGATAACTGTAGGAGTCCAGTTAAGAGAATAACTGTAGGGGTAGACTTTACCTGTTGGTATTGAGATTTAACTTCGGACCATAGTGGCAGTAGCAGTCCAGTTAAGAGGATAACTGTAGAGGTAATTGTAACAATTATAGTCGGAATAATTATAGAGGTAGTTGTAACAATTATAAATGTATTATAAAAAAATTCAAAAAATAATAATATCTCAAAATAACTCAAGAGGATAACTGTAAAAGTGGGTGGTCCTACTTGTCCAAATTACAGTCAACATTGGGAATGTAGTACGGTTCCGTATTTCCCCAAAATGTAAGATAGGACAAAGACAAAATTTGACAAAATTTTGTCAAATATAGACGAAATTTTGTACGGAATAATTTTAGGAATAATTTTATTTGAGTCCCACGCCAATTTATGTGAGATGAGTATTGAAAAGTCAAAATTTCTCATAAATTCTCTTCTTCTTCTTCTTCTTGGTCTTCTTCTTCTTCTTCATCATCTTTTCTCGTCGCTCCGCTTCCACCGCTTCCAACGCTTCCTCTTTATACCCTCACGAACACTCTCCAACGCTGCTGGGAGTAAAAATGCCGCAATCAGATTTCGTTGTGGTCATCAAAAAGGATGCTTATACCGGCACGGTAAGATTTCATTTGAATGCATATGACTAACACATGCATATTCTGTTCAAAAAATTATCAGAGACAGCATACCAAGCCATTGTGATTTCGACCCTTGGTTCAGAAATTGACTACCCAATACGAATTCCTGATTATGATTCTGGTAAGACTTTGAAATATGGTATATTTTACCCGCCCTCCCCGAATTCTTTCTTTTTTTTTTGACAACAAATTCTTTCTAATTCTAAATGTAATGTATGCAATTATCAGATGCAGATGATGTTACAGATGATGATGATGACGTCTTTGTTTGCAAGTTGGAAGAATCGCACTTTCGGGAGTCATCCGAGAATCTGGTATGCTTTTAAAATATCATTTTTGACCTTTTTGACTATTTTCGACCCAATTCGACGTATTTGACTAGTTTGACCAAATTCGACCACACACGAAATTTTTGTTTGGAATACATGGTGTATTCTCCTACATCAATTAATGACTTTTAATCCGTTATTGTCTCAGCCCTTAAGTGACGAATTTTGCGAAGCAAATGGCTTTGTAGAGGGAAAAACAGATGTCACTCTCATAGGACCCAACATGCAGCCCGTGGTCTGCACACTCAAGATTGATTGTATTGGTGATGGGTTCCTGAAGAGAATGTGGCGTTACTTTGTTGAATCGAATGGTTTGCGTATTGGGGACAAGCTTGTGATGAGGCCGGTGGGGAACAACACCTTTATGGTGGGAGTTTACCGTCATCACAGACGGTAAACAAAAAAGTAATTGATTGTTGTTTAATGAACATTATCATTATCTGATCTTTTCCAGGTATGCGTGCCTGGGGATTTAATGTGTTTGTACAACTCTTTTTTCGGTTAAGTACTTAGACTTTTTACTTTTACTAATTGGAAAATTCGACCTATTTGACCGTTGTGACCATATTCGACCACTCGCAATTTTTAGATTGAGTTGGTGTTTCACGCAATTTCTACCCTTTCCAAATAGACCTTTTAATTTATTTTTTATTACAAAGCATTAAAAGGTCTTTCAAAACAATTTTTTACAAATCATTACTTAGGCTTTTTTTAGAACAAGTTATTGGCACTTACAAATCATTTTCATGCACTTTTTTTATTACAAATCATTAAATAGTGTGTCAAAACAATAAATTCATATGTTACATTTTATTAGACCACTACCAAATAGAATTTTACTCATTGATGGACTTTACCTTTATCAGTGACCTAAGTTGCTTGGGAGTTGAATACGTAGCATAATATGACGCGAATGCTCGGAAAGAAATTTCTTAAAGCTCACTTCCCATTGGTATTATGTTGACTTTGGAGTACCAATGGAAGTGATCTTCAAGAAATTTGTTGCGAGCATTATCCTCTTCCTCTAGATATATGACGAAAGTTTTTGGCATTTTAAGAGGGGTTTTTGTGAATAAAGATAAGCAATTGCTCTAGTATATATAGCACTAATCTATACGGAGTATATAAAACGTCCTAAATGCAACGTATTTTCCCAACTACTCATTAAACGTTCTAAATGCATTCAAAACCTACTTATTATTATTATTATTATTATTATTATTATTATTATTATTATCATTGTCATTCAAACCCTCCTATGTGCATAACATGCAGTCGAATACGTTCCTAATGTAGTCAAAATGATCGAATTATTATTATTATTATTATTATTATTATTATTATTATTATTATTATTATTATTATTATTATTATTATTATTAAAATATACGGAGTATATAAAACGTCCTAAATGCAACGTATTTCCCCAAACGTCCTATATACAGAATTGAATGCCAACCGTTCACACATATCTTCATTCATGTATTAATTGTTAATTAGAGTGTAAAAGTCCCTTCGTTCCATTCAAAATTCAAATATTAGTCAGTGTATTCCATATTAAAAAATTACCAATATTTTACACAATCAATTTGATAAATTCGACTGCAATAGAATTATTTTTAATTGAAATAATAGAATTTAGGTTAATTCGAAACCTTTAGACCTCTCTTCGAATACAGTTACATGCAATCAGTATTATTCAAGTCATTTGTCGTAGATGTGTCTTTACGAGGTCTCTTTGCGCATGTCCGTACTGTATGCCCTTTTCCTTGGCAACCAGAACATGTCAATTTATATTTTTTTCGTGCCTCACCGTCCGATGGAAATCTCTTCGTTGTTGGCCTTCCTCTTTGCTTGTTCAATATAGGGGGTTTGACTTCTAAGAGCTCCATTCCATCGGCATCCCAGTCATCTTCATGTGGCACGGGGTAGATTGTTTCCGCGTATGCGATATACATGTATTCCTTTGTGTATAATTTACTACACAGGCTATAACAATCTATGCCTGTGCGTTCTGAACAAGCGAGTGCATGCACGCAAGGTATC